CCAGCGCAGCCTGGGACAAGCAAGCAGGCAGGCCACTTCCATATAGCAAAGGGCCTGCCTCCGCATTTGGCATTCGGGTGCTGGGTGCATGCTGCGCAAGCGCTGCTGYGCTATTTGMTGGCTGGCGCCCACGCGCTCACGGGCGAGCAGGGAAGGAGCAGGCAGCCATAGCCGAGCTGCGCTGCTGTAAGCTGGGTGTGGCGCAGGGTGGTCCTTGGGTGCATGTGGCATCTGTGCGTTGGGGAACGAGGTTGTGAGTSAAGCGAGAGACATACCTGGTGCTGGAAGCATGCGGCATTGACCGCTATCTGCTCGTACTTCGGTTAAGYTGTTGTCGTCATCTTCGGCATCGTAGTATAGGCTAGATAGGATCTGCCATCTGTAGTCTGGGCGCCGAGCGCCAGATAGGATATCAACATTGGTTCTTCGTTGATGATGATGGGACTATTTCCGCATTGTCAATTATGGACGCTTGGTGTGTTCTTATTTGGTGAAACTCGTGATGCAATTCTGCTGTTGGTTTGAGGTCACGGCTATCTGGTCTTATATGTATGATGCTGTTTGATTGCTAAAGTTCACTATTGCTCATCTTCCTTGCAATTTGGTATCGGAGCTGTGGTACGTTGCGCTCATCTGGCGCTTGTCTTCTGCCTTGTGCGGTACATACATGCGGTCTGCTTGGTGAGTGTGACCGTAGGTGGTGTGTAGTGAGGAGGGCGGAGACAAGATTAGGCGACCCAGGAGGTGAGGGGATCGCCTGGAAGGCTACGGTGTGTATATTGGGTGTTCGCAGTGTGATGAGAACTATCTGGTGGTCGATTGATGCTGAGGTGGAACGGCGAGACAATTCTGGTTGTGCCGATGCAGTGACTGTTCATCACAATCGCCATCAGGTCATCTGGTGAGAATATCTGTGGTTGGGGGCAGCTATATTGAGGTACGTTGCTCTTAACCTTATCTTCCCTCTTCATCACTTCTTACCGTGAGGTTGTGAGTTTCATCTTGAGAGTCCTCTCATGTGAGGTGTCGTGTGCGCTCAACCTTGAGAGTCGGCATTCTTCCCGTGGAGGATCTGGAAGGACAGGGCGGTGCTTTCTGAAGGGCCCTGGACGAAGCACTGGGTCACGGTTACCATGCCAACCCACCGGGAGTAGAGCACGCATGCTTTGCTTCTTTGTCCTTGTCTGCTTGCTGTGCTCATAGAAGGGGTACTGAAGAGCAGGCCAGCTCTAAGGGGAGACGAGTACCGGGCATCTATAAATAAACACCGGCAGGGAAACCACTGGCTGTGATCGTCGTCCTGCTGCGACGTAAGATAATTCCTGCTGTCACTTGGGGGCGGACGTTAAATTGCCTCTTGATCAGTTAGTTGGTGTAAGGCTCGCTGCACGCGAGGATAAGCAAGGTGCAGGGCTGGCCAGCTCAGCAGCTACTCGGGGCACAGGGGTGGGCCGAGTGCACACCTTTAGTCACGCACGCTACCGGATCGCTCAGGGACGCTGACGTTAAGTGACACTCAAGTGGGATTGAGGGAAAGGGTAGATTCCAGATGATAAGTTTGAGAAAGATGCCATGCTGTGAACAGACCCAACAGATAACGTTATTGTTATTTTGATTAGTCAGATGTACAACCATTGACATCTGACAAACAGCATAGTTTAGAACTGTTTAATGTTCATTGTGCTTCTGTTTGCGGACTAATCAAAGTAGAGTAGTGTTATTTGTAGGAATTTGCACTTGCCTGTTGGACCCGAATGTATCTGCTCCTAATAGTCACCAATTAATTTAAATTGGTCTGGTCATTATGCTGCGGTAGGTACCTAGAGTATCCTAGTGCAGATTGTGTCCAGTACTGTAGCTTATGAGCGATAGGGAGGAACAACAACCGGACGACCGGATCTTGCGATCAGCAAGACACCCAGTTGCTCATCTGGCATTAGGACAAGAGGGCGACAGATACCTGTTCCACCAGCGTAGGGAGAGGCTGCAGCAGCAGCAGAGAGCTCGGGACGCAGAAGCTAGCAGAACTTTTGCAAGTGAGGCCGCTGCTTCAGCAGCCATGGCTAGCGCTGCACAACAATCCTCTCAGGCTAGCAGTTCAGGAACTGTAGGGTCAACTGCGGCGCAGACCCAGAGTCAGTCGGCTGGCGTAATGGCAAGTCAGTCAAATGTGTTGTCACCCGAGGAGATTGCCATACAGCAGGCTGCCCTGCAAGAGGCACAGCTACAGAAGGCTTTAGGGGAGATAAAGGCGGAGAAAGAGAGAATGATTAGAAGAGTAGCCAGCATGCAGCGAAGAGAAGCGGACGTTAGGCAATTAGAGGAAATGGATCTGACCAATATGGTTGCGGATGTGAGGGTAGTTCGGACGGCCCTGCTAGGAGTCATAGAGACGCAGGACCATCAGACCGCCATCCTCCAAGACATTCAGCAGAGTCTAGCCTGGCTGGTTGGACGATTGCAGGCAGCTCCATTATCGTCAGGGCCTGGTTCCCGGCCCGTGGCACATCCTCCTCCTCCTGTCCCACCGGTTACTGGGGTATCCCCATATGTAGCCCCATCATCGGTTGCTATCGTTGCCCTGGGCATGCTCCTATCAGGAGGGTTATCAGCAGGACCTAGTGTTCAGATTCCTGTACAGTCAGTGTTATCCCAACCTCCGTCGCAGGTTGCCATCAGTGGGCAATCTGTTGTCCCTCAACCTGTGCAGCCGCATGGGATGCAGCCCCAGCAGCAACAGGTGCAGCAGCCTGTTCCCCAGAGTCCACAACCAAGTGTGGGACAGATGCAGGGACAAACACAGTGGGTTCCAAAGACGGCAATCGCTGCTCCCAAACCCTTTTCAGGGGATAAGAGGGGCGAAGACCTCGACACGTGGTTGAGGGCGGCGCCGGTCTATGTTAAGTGTAAGTTGACCTTGCCGCACGAGGAAGTGTTTGTGGCTGCCTCTTATTTAGAGGGGAGTGCAACAAGATGGTTGAGTGGGTTAGTGCAACTACAGGGATATGGTCATGACTTCTGCGCTTGGGCAGCCAGCCAAAAGTTGGATGACTTCCTCAAGCTGGTGGAGGAAAGGTGGCATGATCCTCAGGAGGCCCAAAAGGCCACTGCCGCGATCCTGACTTTGAGCGCTTGTTCGTTTAAGTCAGTTAGGGAGGCCACTGGCGCAGTAGAGCGGCTGATCTGTGTCCCTGGGGTCCGCTATGATCCCCAAGTCTTACTGACAACTTACCTGAGGTGTCTGCCGATGCCAATCAGGAATCAGTTGGCAGTCGAGGCTAACATCAACGTGCACAACTTTCCATCGTTCAGCAAGAAGGCCCTAGACTTTGAAGCTAAGATAGGGCATGGACACAACCCATCGACGGACGGTAGGAAAAAGGCACTGCCTCCCAACTGGAAGGCGAAGGGACGCATCATGTTCGTCAGCAACGATGGTTCAACCATCGAGTTGGACGACGACCCCCAGTTGGGAGCTGGTTCAGAGGCAGGCAGCGTAGAGGCTTCAGAGGGTGGAGTAGTCGCTGCCGTAACGCAACAAAAAGGTAAGGGGGACTGGAAGACGCTGAGGAGGCTCCCGGTCCAGGAGTGAAGTTGACCCGAATGCTCCTCCATGGGAGAAAGCGGGTCTCACAGAGGACGTGTGGAGAGAGACCGGTACACCCGGCAAGCTTGTATTCGTTGTGGTCAATACGGCCATAACCAATTCAAGTGCCAAAATAAGAAGGTTACCGAGAAGATCCCCGCCTACTATGGGGCAGGCGGTAGGATCTCCGCTCCCGTTGGTAGCAATGTTGCCAGTGCTTTAGGCACGGCTCCGGGAAACACGTCGGGCCAGTAGGAATAGTAGTTGTTCCTGGTAGGGGCGAGGTGGTGGATACACCCTCACCATCTCGAGAGATGGCCCAAGCTACTAACTCCCCTGTCGTCCCGCAAACACATTCGGACCCATTGACCCTTTGTTCGATGAATGTGTTCGAGTCCTTAGAGGAGCTAGCAGAGGAGTGGTCTAAGTCAGACCCACTAGCTTCTTGGACGACACTAGTTAAAGCTCCTAAGGCTGAGATGTTCGTCAGTGAGATAGTCATTAGCGGTCGCAAGACCGGAGCCTATTATGACACTTGCTCGACGAGGAATTGCATTATGCGCGCGTGCGTTGAGAGGCTGCGCTTACAGGGGCAAGTGCAGCGCCTGAGTTGACCTGTGGAGTCGACCTGTGCCAACAAACAGCGCATGGTAGTTAACGACTACCTTCAGGACGTTGAGTGCCTATTCCCGTACGTGGGAGGGGAATTGAGGCATCGTGTCTCATTCCTGGTGAGCGACGATCTCCCCATGGACATATTGTTAGGTATGTACTACCTCTCAGTTGCACAGCCCCAGTTCGACTGGGATCGAAAAGTGGTCAAACACACTCTGCCATGTGGAGGGACCGCCAGATTACATAAGTTCAAAGCTAGTAGTCTGATAGAATCCCACGGATGCATGTGTGCGGCCGCATTCTATAATTATTATAAGCAACATCAGGAGGAGGGTATATATCTAGTTTACGTCTCTGCTGCAGGCGAGCCGGTGAAAATGTCGCCGGAGATAGAGGGAGTAGTTGCCAAATACCCTGATCTATTTGAAGAGCCAACAGGGGTTGTTGATAGGGAGGTCGTCCATGCTATAGAGATTATCCCAGGGTCTAGCATCCCGAAGGGTAGGATCTATAGGATGTCTCCAGGCGAGCTTGATGAGCTTTGCTGCCAACTCAAGGAACTCATAGAGAAGGGTTGGATCCGACCGAGTGTCTCCCCTTATGGGTCTCCAGTTCTATTCGTTCCAAAGAAGGGAGGCACTTTGAGGATGTGCATTGATTATAGGGGCCTCAATGCCATCACAGTGAAGAACAGGGAGCCCCTACCGCGCATCGATGATTTGCTTGATAGAGTGCAAGGGTGTCGGTACTTCAGTAAAATAGATCTGAAGTCCGGGTACCATCAGATTGCAATCCGGCCTGAGGATCAGCACAAAACTGCTTTTCAGACCAGGTACGGTCTGTACGAGTTTGTGGTGATGCCATTTGGCCTGTGCAATGCTCCTGGCACGTTTCAGCACGCTATGAATCGAATCTTTCGTGACTACTTAGACAAGTTTGTTATCGTGTACCTCGATGACATACTTATCTTTAGTAGGACTGTCGACGAGCACGTGGCACATTTAGATAAAGTCCTCAGTCTCCTTCGTCAACACAAGTTCAAGATTAACGGTGAGAAGTGCGAATTTGGCCGCACCCGTATCTTGTACTTGGGTCATGAGATTTCCGCGGAAGGGTTGAAACCCGATGACGCGAAGGTGGCCAGCATTCGTGATTGGCCACGTCCTCAGTCTGTGACTGAGATAAGATCTTTCTTAGGGATGACGGGCTACTATAGGACTTTCGTTAAGAACTATAGCATAGTGGCCGCCCCTTTGACTGATCTGACCCGCTTTGACACCCCATGGGAGTGGACAGACAAGTGCGAGGCTGCTTTCAGACATCTGAAGCATGCGTTGACGCACTATGAGGTCTTGAAACTTCCCGATCCTGACAAGCCATTTGTGGTTACCACGGATGCTAGCCAATATGGCATTGGCGCCATGCTTGCGCAGCAGGAGGGGCCAAAGTTGAGGCTAGTCGAGTACATGTCCAAGTCTATGAAGTTGGCAAAGCCCACCTATAAAAAGGAACTCTATGCGGTGTACAAGGCTCTGACCCATTGAAGACACTATCTCCTTGGGAGGTTCTTCATCCTCAGGACTGATCATCAGACCTTGAGATGGATGAGAACACAACCGGTGCTCTCCGACGCTCTAAAGCGTTGGATCGAAGTCATTGAGCAGTATGACTTCGACCCGCAGTATCTGAAAGTGGAGTACAACAAGGTTGCTGATGCCTTGTCGCGTAGACCTGATTTCTTAGGTGCGTTGATAACTGAGTTCGATCTGACGGACAATGTAACTCGCTCTTTGGTGGAAGCCTATCACGAGGACCAATTTATGTCTGAGATCATACGCAGACTAGAGGCGAAGGACAAAAAGACTTCTGCCGAGTTTGAGTTGGTCAACGGCTTGCTGTTCCTTGAGAAGGCAGGGAATAAACGATTGTGTGTTCCAAATAGAGAGTCTTTGCGTAGTTTGTTTCTAGGCGAGTGCCATGATGCCACCGGCCATTTTGGGTACAAGAAGACCGCAGCCAATCTGTTGCAGCGGTTCTGGTGGCCCACGATGATGCGAGATGCCCAGCTGTACGTGGAGACATGTCAAGTCTGTCAGAGGGACAAACCACGTACTCAGGCTCCTCTTGGGCTCCTGAAGCCCCTTCCGATTCCGGAAAGGCTTGGTGAGAGCCTGTCCATGCACTTCATGGATACGCTGGTGACCAGCAAGAGTGGGATGAGACACATCTTCGTCATCGTGGATAGGTTTAGTAAGTATGCTAGATTAGTAGCCATGCCGGAGACTGCGAAGAACGAGTACGTCATCAGATTGTTTAAAGAGAACTGGGTCAGGGATTTTGGTTTGCCCAAATCCATAGTGAGTGACAGGGATGTCTAATTCACTAGTGAGTTGTGGAAGGCCGCTGCTGCGGAGCAGGGAACCCAGTTGCAGATGACTTCTGGGAACCACCCAGAGGCCAACGGCCAGGCCGAGCAACTGAACCGCGTTGTACAACACCTGTTGAGGCATTACATCAAGCCCAATCAGGTGGACTGGGATGAGAAGCTGGCTCTCATCGCCAGCTTGTACAACAACGCTGTACACAGCGCTACCGGGTTGAGCCCAAACAGCTTACTATTGACTTTCAAGCCTAGACTGCCCTTAGACTTCCTTCTTCCTGAGAATCAGTCAACTTCTGCACCAGGTACCTTAGAATTTGCCTATCGGTATGAACAGAAGATGCAGCAGGCGATAGAACAGATGCAGAAGGCACAGGCGGCAATGATAGAGTCCGAGAATAAACACCGTCGCCCTTCTACGTTTCAGGTTGGGGACAGAGTCTGGGTTAAGTCCTCAGAGCTGGGACAGGAGTACGGGATTTCCCGCAAACGTATGCCTCAGTACTTTGGGCCTTGGGAAGTCTTAGATGTTGTTGGGACTGATCCGGATGGGCCATCTTATGTAGTTCGTATCCCTGGTCATCTTCACACTTACCTTGTCTTTCACGCCTCTAAACTTGCACCTTTCAAGGAAACAGATGAGTTTCCTTCTCGTTGCTCAATGCTGCCCCCAACCATGGATGGAGAAGTGGACATTGATGACATAGTGGATCACAGGGAGCTGCCAGTACCAAGACCCACAGGCAGGGGACGTCCTCCGAAACCGAAGCTACAGTACCGCGTTCGGTTCCAACATCATACTGATCCAAAGGAGGACCGCTGGTTCACCCGGGAGGAACTTACGCAGACCGCTCCTCAAGTCGTAGCACACTACGAGAAATTTCTGCAGAAGGGAAAGTGTCAGGTTATCGAAGACTGAACTTCTCAGAGGACTATCGAAGTTATGGAGGAGGGAATGCTAGGCTGAAGCCCCGATGAGCCCCTTTCAGGCCCTGCCATGTATCACGTCGGCCGCCCTAAGTGAAGGCAGGCACGACGAGGGCCTGAGGGCCCTACTTTGGTCACTATGCAACTCAAGGAAATTCAGGTAGTTGCGCAGCGCCAGTTGGTTGAGAAAACCCAGGCCCTGGGCCGCCTTTGTGAATGTGTGGAAAGCAGGCCCTGGGCTGGGTACGGGTACTGGGCCAAACACAGGCCGTTGACAGTTGGGCGCGAGCAACCACTGCAGGCCCAAGGCCTGAGTTGTGTGGACTGGGCCTCAGCCTACCGGGGCCTACCGGAAGCTTCTTGGGAAAGGCCCAGCGCAGCCTGGGACAAGCAAGCAGGCAGGCCACTTCCATATAGCAAAGGGCCTGCCTCCGCATTTGGCATTCGGGTGCTGGGTGCATGCTGC